TGCCCCGCATTGATGACACCATTGATGCGGTCTCGGGAGCTAAATGGTTTTCGACCCTGGATCTCGCGTCCGGATACTGGTAGGCTGACGTCCATTCAGCTGATCGGGCAAAGACTGCTTTTGTGGTCCCCCTCTGGACTCTATGAGTTCAACGTGATGCCCTTCGGTCTAGCAAACGCGCCGGCCACCTTTCAACGGCTGATGACAACTGTTTTGCACGATATAACGCCGACGTCCTGTCTAATTTATTTGGATGACTTTATTGTCAACGGCACCTCAATTGAGGACCACAGCGCGAAGCTGCGAGCAGTTCCGTCCAGGCTAAAGGACGCTGGCCTCGTGTTGCGCACGGCCAAGAGTAAGCTATTGCAGAAGCAGACACTATTTCTGGGGTACGTCTTGTCGGCTTCTGGTATACATCCGGACCCCAGCACCACCTCCCGTATCCTCGAGTGGCCAACTCCCAAGACGCAGCAAGAAGTTCGCGTCCTACTATCGGGAGTTTGTTCGGGGGTTCGCTGGCATCGCCGCACCTCTTCACCGTCTGACTGAAAAGTCACGACCCTTCGTTTGGACGAACGAGTGCGAGCAGGCCTTCATTCAACTCAAGCAGGCGTTGACTTCTCCACACATACTCAGTCTACCGGACGTTTCCCAATCAGCCACTGAATTCATCCTCAATATCGATGCCAGCGATATGGCTATTGGAGCTGTTTCGTCTCAAAAGGCAGACGATACCGAGAAGGTAATTGCATTCGCCAGCAGACAATTGACCGAACCCGAACGACGATATAGCACGACCCGGCGTGAGATGTTAGCTTTGGTCTACTTCGTCAAATACTTTCGTCCCTATCTCCTGGGCCGTCACTTTTTAGTTCGTGTCGACCATAACGCTCTCCAATAGCTGCATAACTTCTGCGAACCTGAGGGACAGGTTGCACGTTGGCAAGAGCAACTGCAGGAATACGATTATACCTGCAGATACCGGCCTGGTTGCAGACACCTCAACGCAGACGGTCTGTCGCGACGCCCAGCAGATGCAAATGAAACAGTAAACGCTGTTCTTACGTCTGATGATGCACAAGAATGGGCGACCCTACATGCAGTGGACCACGATGTTGGCGATATCTACGACCGGCAGTTACATGATTCTCGCAAACCCACTGGTAGAGGGATGGAAAGGAAGTCAGCCGCATCGCGCGCATTATGAGGAAATTGGGCCCGCTTGCGGATAGAGAATCACGTCTTGTTTTTACAGGCGCAGGCTGACGAGCCGCCGCGATTGGTTCTGCCAAGAGTTAAGGTGCCGGACATGATAGACCAGCTTCATCATCAGCTGGGGCACGCAGGCCAGCGCAAGACGGAAGTAGCTGTTCACAGACGGTTTTGGTGGTCGACTATACACCGGGGTGTGGTGTCTTACTG